GTTTAAATGGTCTTTATCTTCATTCGCTTACAATTAGCACGAACTACCGTAAATCCGACAAATAATCCAACTAATCATGAAGTCCAATTCTAGCCCGGTTAATTGCCATTGTTAGCAATATCAGTTGATGACACATTACGTGCGGTGCTTTACATATAAAACTCCGTAGCAATACATCTACAGATAAATTGGACGGTATAGCGTGTGCGACCGATTTAATGAGCCACAAATGAGAAGTAGTGCTTAAACAGTATAAGACTACAACTTTCCCTTCTGTTGATAAAGGCCGCAGCCATCTTGGATTCTGAACTCGGGATCCTCTGTGCTGCTCCAAGATATTTAGTGCAGGAGCTAGGTGACTTTTATTCAACATGAAAGGTGCGGAAGGTCTGTAGTATCAAAAATGTTTATTAGGCTAAACTGTGCCAGGAAATGCGATTCTTAAGTTTCGCAAGTGGTGGGTGTGACTAGGGGCCACACCCAAAGTACCCCCCAAAATGGGTTTATTTAACATGGGAGGTGCAGACTTCGTTCCAATGCCAGTTGATGCAGGTGTATTTACTGAATGAAAAAATCCAACTTAAGAAGATTTTTTTTGGTGGAAGCACTAATTAAGAACACAATTAATTAGTGCTAATTGGAGTTTTATTTAACATAAAAGGTGTGCAGTTGAAACCAACTTCATTACATAGTGTCACATCTCAGTAGTTAGAAAAATAAACTTAAGAAGAAAAATTATGGTGGAAAGACCCCTTAAGAAGGGCCACACCATGCCACACCCCCCAAAAATGGATTTATTCAACATGGGAAGTGCAGACTTTATTTCAGTGCCAGTTGATGTGGGACTGTTCACTGAATGGAAAAACACAAGTTGAGAACATTTATTTAATTATAAATGTTTGATATATACCTACTACTACATTTCAACAGTTCAAAGAAACTGGGGTTTCTAAACGGGTAAACGGGGTTTTTAATGGTGAAGAGAGGCAGACATCCACGAACATACTAACAATAACTTACACACCAAAGTTCGGTCGATCTGATTCATTGTTTGACCTCTTCATGAAAAGCAAGACTTTCTGTCTATCTTTAGCATATACATGTGTGTAAATGAATCTACCTTTTAAGACTCACACTTTCTCGAGGTGAGCACATGGTCCCTGGACCATTTCATTAAAATCTGAAACAATTCGATCTGGCAAGTGACGACGATGGTAAAAGAGATTTTTAAGACATTTAGCCTCTGTGACTTACGCTAAGTTTCTTAATTCCAGACATTTGGTGAATGCTTCTCTATCATGGCAATGAATGATAGCTCTCCAGTGCCTCTGGTGCCACCACACAAAACATGTATTCTTCACATTGAGCAAGCAAATCGATCAGCCCAACAAAGACCCGTGGTCCAGTCCTTCAACCCTGAAAAATGATCCATTGTGAAAGAAGCTGCCTGTTTGAGGAAGGTGAAGAAGAACTTTGCTACATCAAAGTATTTTCAGGTAGTTCAGTCTCTTCCTGAGGATGTTGATAGTTCTCATGGTTATCATGTGCAATGTTACAAGAACTTTACTGCTGTTCCTCAGGACTCAAAAACTGCTAATGATAGTGCAAAACCAAAACAGTTACGATCTGGAGTGCCACCATCACCAGCTTTATCATCAACTGGAGTTTCCCAAATTCCTGGCCACTGAGTGGAAATCACAGCATTATGCGTATCTGATTGAAAAGAGGCATGTCTACCTCTCCTACTTAGGTTCATGCTTTCACTTCTATGTCAGCAATGGACAGGTCATGAGAGAAGAAGTTGAGAACTTGAAAA